TTGTGGGGGCAGCCAAAGTCGGGTGCGGGCGGCAGTGCAGGGCTCCCTGGCAGGGCCGAGAGGATGGAGGCAGGGCTCCCGCCGCGCTCAGCTGGCAGCGTCTGCCGTGTCCCTGCCCCGTCCCGCAGAGCCGGTATTGCCAGGCACCCCAGCACCCTGCACGCAGCTTCCCGGGGACCCTCGCTGCTGGAGCTGCGTCAGGAGCAAAAGACGAGGTGCACCCACACCCACCCAGCTGCCGGCAGCCCTTGCAGGGGGCACGGCTCATGGTGGATACGTTCTCAGCAGACACCCCTAAACTCATTTTTTTGCATCCACACCTTGGGGAAAGACACCCTCACCAGTGACCAAAGCAGACAGCTCACAGGAGATTTTGAATCATCCGCCTGGTGAAGAGCATCACCATCACAGAATCACAGAATAGTAGGGGTTGGAAGGGACCTCTGTGGGTCATCTAGTCCAACCCTCCTGCCGAAGCAGGGTCACCTACAGCAGGCTGCAGAGGACCTTGTCCAGGCGGGTCTTGAATATCTCCAGAGAAGGAGACTCCACAACCTCCCTGGGCAGCCTGTTCCAGTGCTCCGTCACCCTCAGAGGGAAGAAGTTCTTCCTCATGTTCAGACGGAACTTCCTGTGCCTCAGTTTGTGCCCATCAGCAGCCAGGCTTGCTCCAAAAACCCCGAGGTCTCCTTGCTCTGCTGGGGCAGGAGCCCCAGCAAGGCACAAGCCCAGGGCCAAGTTTCAGACTCCATCCCAGGAAGTTTGCGTTGGAGCCCATCCCCGTGACACCCCTCCTTCCCAAAGCTGTCAGGCCCCAGGACAAGGGTACCCCTGGCCACCCGCAAAGCCAACACGCCAGCAGCCCAGCGTGCTGCTGAACTTCTGCATGTCAGCAAAACAGGGGAAGTCTGAGCAAGAAAACGCAGCTGCCAAGACCATCCCATCCACACAGGCTTCACCCCGAACCTGGGCTCCAGCCAGGCACTGAAGATATTAACTGCTTTCTGCCCAGAAAAGCCCTGCTGAGAGCTGCTCCCTCTTGCAGGTCCCATCCTGCACCCTGCCATGGATCTGCTCGCCTCTGTCAGCCCTTCCCCTCGCTTGGGGTCACCATAAAAACCTGGGCAACGTGTATGCCCCCCGCAACGAGAGGCAGCACTCCAAACCCCCCCAGCATGGGGTTTCTGTGCCACGACCAACACGAGCTCCCCGCAGAGGCAGCCTGCCCGGCCCACGCTCCAACAGCAGCAAAAGGGGTTTCTGTCACCCGGAGCCGCTCCCGACCGTTTGCCCCCCTGGGGTGACTCTGGACGGGCAGAACGCGGCGGGAGCGGGGCAGGTCCCAGGTCCCCTGTGACGGGGGGACATGGAGAGGGTGCAA